AGCTAGTATGAAATAAATACATCAATGCTAGCTTCCGTCATACACAATAACATCAGCGTCCAAAAATCTGCACACAAGATACAAAAGTGTATTATGAGTACAACCGACCCCATGTACTCAATAAGTAACAAACCTTTAGGCCTTTATTTTGGAATTATTTATCAGAATAGTGGAGAAAACATGATCTTCTTATGAAGTGCTCAGAATTTGAATTCTGCCAAATTATGCTTTCAGTGGAGTCTTAACTCACCAAATGAAGCGTATAACTTCTCTCATGTTCATGTCTGTGAGTATCAAGTCTAAATTACTCTGTCTTTTACCAAGTTATGTAAACTTATATTCATTGTTCAGGGATAGGTTCATCTAGCTTAGTTGGAGCTGCCTGCTGCACTTTCTTTCTATATTTTTATTGCATTTGGATGTGTAATATTACCTCAATTTATAATCAGATATTTATTTCATATGTAGGAACAAGGTCTTTCAGAGTGGCCGCCTAATGTGAGTCGTCGTTCCATAAAAATATCTACTCTTAACTATATCCATCCTTGCATATTTACCTTAATGTCATTCCTCTATTTTTGCCCTTTTCGGCTTGCCTTGTAACATTACGGACCTTGAATCTGTTACAATGAATTGATATCTATTAGATACATTATTGTAAATGATTCAAATGCCCTTTGATGTTTGACCTGTAGGAGCTCAATGTGATGACTTTAGTTTTGAGCATTATATTGTATTTAGAGTGCAACTTTAATTCAGCAAATCAAAGAGTAATTTCTCACTTATATTTTTTTCTTTATGAGTATAAATTCGTGCTTGAAAAAAATCTCATTACTAATGGAAGTTTGTCTTAAGTTACATTGTTGTCATTTACATTAGCAACCTACTGTGAACTTTTTATCTGTTTCTCAGCCATATCTTGATGTAAACTTGATGAGGGGCGAACATATTGAAAATTTTGATCAGTTGAATGTCATCTTTGACAACAATTCTTCATCGTCGCGCTCAAAGCAGCCCTTAAAGAGGAGGTGCAATGAGGACACTTTGGTCGATATGATGAGTGTTATTGCTGCAAATATCGAGAGGATTGCAGATGCCTTGATAGAGAGCAGCCAACGCGTGTGGTTGGTCGAGGTGTTTGGCATGATAAAATAAAATTTCTGAATTCGATGATGATTTAGCAATCAACGCATGTGAGTTTCTTTCTCTTGATGAAAGAAGAGCAAAGATGCTCCCCAAATTCGAGAAAAACAGAGTTAGTGCGTCTTGATTAAGCTTCATTTGGTGAAATAAAATTTGAACCAAATGTGTTGTGCATTATGAATGTACTTGAGACAAAAATTTCTGAATTTTTATGTTATGTGGACTAATCCTTTTTAAAGCCAAGTACTGGTGTAGCATTACCCAAGTATGTTGTAACAGCTCTTGCGGATTGGTGGTCCCTAAAAAAAATTTAGACAAACAATCCAGTGAAATTAATCTTTTTGTTAATTAGTCTAAATTTACATCCTTTGTGTTTTCTTTTAACCGATCCGTGCATCGCTCGGGTAAATATACGTAGTATATATAACAGTAAGAGAGGTTTTCTTAGACTTGATAAAACACAGTACCTCTCATTCACTATTTAGGTATTTGAAACCCAAGCATATTCATGTGACGACCCTTCCTTAGAAGCATTTGACAGAGATTTTCTCTTCTTCTCTTTTTTTTTTTTAACTTTTTTGTAAATGAATGAGCATGCTCATCTTTCTTTTCGAACATGAGGAGCATTTACATATTTTTATTTAGTAACCTAAAAAGAAATATACAAGCTATTAAAACAATTAAAAATACTGATAGCGTTAAATATTTTATGTTACTAGCGTAATAAGTTGCATTCAGTGGCGGAGCCAAAATTTTCATCAAGGAGTATCAAAATATAAATAATTAGATACATCGAAAAGTCAAGGGGAGTCAACGTATTGTAAATATACATAAAATATAAAAATTTATCTAGCAATATAGTGTAATTTTCCGGCTTGGTTCAATGTGGCTCCGTCAGTGGTTGCATTGGGTCTATTTAACCCTCACCCTAAATAATAACATACTCATTGCAGTGGCAAAACTATGAATTTCTCCAAGGTGTTCAAATGTAAAAGAAGTGAAAAAAAGCATTCCAACAAAGGGTGTTCAATATGTGTTATATACCTATAAAACGTAATATTTTACCTATGTACACGGTGTAATTTTTCGACGAAGGGTGATTAGTTGGCCACCTTTATGACCATGTGGCTTCGCCACTGACTCATTGTGATCTCACAAGTGAGTTCAGGGAGGAGAGTGTACGCATATCTTATTACTACCTTGTGTGAAATAAAGAGATTATTTCCGATAAACCATCGACGGAAGAAAATTTTTTCTTTACCCGTTTTTTAAGCCCTACCTTACATGTAGGACAAAAAAAAAGACGGTTTTTGCAAAGGTTGGACTTGCGACACGTAGTAATTATCTCACTACAAACTGAAACTAACTAAAAGGAAACACCCAATAAGAGAATTTAGACAGCTGGGCGTCCACTACATTTACGGTAATTAATGAGATAACAAGACTTTATTTTATCTCAATAATAGAGTCTACACACGCACAAAAAAAAAAAAATATTGAAGAAGAAAAGAAACCCAAGTCGAAGAAGTCAAAAAATTACTTGAATTAATACGTTCTTTTTAAATCAAGAAAGTGCATTAATTGATTTTTATTATAGGTTACGCATATGTTTGTGTCAATAAATTTTTCTTTCCCAAGTCCATTTAAACAATATGTTTCTAAAACAAGGGCGACTCAAGGGTCAAGCAAGTGAGGCCCTTGCTTTAGGCCTCTCAAAAATTGGGGCCCCCAGATACTGTTTTTAATTATTTTTATGTCTTTAACATTTTTTGTAAAAACAATTGAATCTTGTTAGAAAAATCTTAATTCTTTGTAAAAAGAAAGAAGTAGTTATAAAAAAGAATAACTTAAAGAAGGAGGCATGGGCAATGAGCCTTTACGTGTAAAGAAATGTATTATTTTTCTGCCAAACAAAATAATATATTGAATAATTCGAATTGCACCGTCATTTTCATATTCCTTCTCATGTTTTCAAGTATTTAAGTAAGTAAATTGAAATAGTGAAACGCTTTCATGCATTGGTTTATTTTGATATCAATCGTCAATTTATCAACTTTCAGAATCAGGTTTAATCGTTCTAACTTTCTTTTTATCTTTTTTTTAAAACAAAAAATCAGAATTTAAATGTACCAACAACAAAATATGAATAACTTTGATACAATCTCAAAAAGTTACTCTTAATAAATTTCTACCAAACAATAGATAAAGTTAAATAAAAAGGTATAGGGAAGTGTTGTTAAATGAACAAGTCTCCAATCTTTTTGAGTTAGATGGTAATGAAACCAAAGAAAAAGAAGAATTCTGAATGTCAAAAACATTTTTTTTAAAAAATTAAATAAAAAATAAATCTATAAATAAATATAAATATAAATATTGCTTTAGTCTTCTTAAGGCCTCTTAATAAAGTTTGTTTTAGGCCACAAATATCATTGAGCCGCTCATGTTCTCAAACCTATAGGGATTATGAGTTTACTAAAAAATAATACTACAATTATAGTATTGTTTATATAGGCAAGAAAGTTTTTTATCTATATTTCAATTCCTCAAGACACAAGAGATTTTTTTAAAAAAATCTGGTTGATGAAATTCCTGTCTCCGTACATAAAACAAACTTTTGGTAAGAAAGACTTTTATTTCTTGGATTACTAGTGATAGTGAAACATTGTTATAAACTTTTCTAGTTCACCTTCTTCCTGGGAAACTGTTGGGATTGTCCTCAGTGTACAAATAAGTTGAAGTTGGAGTTATAAATTTCACCAGCTTGGCTAAAAGGGAAAGAAGGAAAAGAGACGTTGGCTTTATTAATGTTGTATCCAATGCATCCAACTTCCTATCTTGTCGAAGTAATGAGAATGAAAAATCGTGATGATGAAATCATACAATCACAATTTTCATTTCTTTCCCTACGAAATTAATCCACGTGTGTTGTTGTCCTCGTTTATCTTTTTATTATTGGTTGTTAAAAAGTCAAACAACAGTGAATTTAGGTGATGAATCAAGTCTATTGATTTTAATTATAACGACCAACCATTAAAATAAGGTAGAGGAAAAAACCAATTTCATTTGTATCTACTTAATTAACCCTATTTAAAATGTATGAATAAGCTATAGGCACACACGCAGACACAAGTTAATGCGCATTTCAGAGTGAATTATTTTTTCTTTGATTTGTTAGATGAATAGAAGTTAATGGGCGTTTCAGAGTAATAGAAGTTAATGGGCGTTTCGGAGTGAATTAATTTTTGTGTGATTTCTTTTTCTTTTTGCTAATGAAAGAAGCTTTTATTGAATATATACTCTCATATTTTGTTAATTCTGAGAATTATTTCATTTTCCTCTGAGATAAAAAATTTATAATGTGTTGTCAGACTCACTTAACTCTTTTAAAGCATCATTTCTAATCAGCTTGCACAAACCTCGACTAATTTTAAAGTATCCTTTCTGACCAGTTTGCCCTCGACTAATTTCAAAGTATCCTTTCGGACCAACTTGCCCGAATCTAGACTAAGTTTTAGTCCATATCATTTTCACTCATCCAAGACCAAAACATATTCTTTATCATCCCTTTAATATTCTTGCGTCAAATGTGACAAACCCTAACTTTTTATTTGGTACTTCCTTTTTCTGGTGGCTCTCTCTGTATTTCCTTTAATCTTTAGGTAGTACGTACCTATAAGAAATTGTGCAGGACCAACGGTGAAATTTTTGACAATAACTAGTTATTGTGTAATAGGTGCACATTTTATTCAGTCTCAATAATGTAATTATGATTCCAAACTACCTCATTCAATTCTTCTATCACATTTTCCTCTATATATACCTATGAAAAACCTCATTCTCCAAACAGTTTAATCAGTTGATCTAAGCCTTAACCTTTTCAGTCTCAAACCCAAGAAAAAGAAGAAAATAAACATGTCTTTTCTGAAAAGAGAAAAAATGACAAGACCAACAAGGTGGAGTCCAGCCCCAGAACAACTCATGTTCTTAGAAGAAATGTATAGGAAAGGTTTAAGAAATCCAAATGCTACTCAAATACAAAATATTACTGCCCATTTGTCTTCTTATGGAAAGATTGAAGGGAAAAATGTGTTTTATTGGTTTCAAAACCACAAAGCTAGAGATAGACAGAAGCTTAAGAAAAAACTCCTTGCCCAAATGAACCAACAACAATTTTTTTCTCAATATCCTGTTGATGCTCATAGTACAACCACCACAAGCACCAACACAAACAACCTTTTTCACTGCCCTACTGATCACTACTCTCATAATTCTTCATCTGTTGTGAACCAAATATGCCCTATTAGCTCTTCTGGACTTCTTCAAGAGGTAGAGACGTACACAAAATAATACTATGCTCTTCCCTATATTCAGTTTTATTATTAATACTATTATTATATTTTGGTTTTATTCTGCATGAGGAAACTATTTCATAAGCTAGTCAACTTATATCTTTAGTTTTTGAAAGTGACAGAAAATGGAGGAGCAAAGAAACATAAGAAAGCTTGCCTTCCTTATTCCCCACAAAAAGAAAAAGAAGTAGAAAAAGTTAAACTTGTCCCTCTTTGATTATGTAAGAATTTTAGAAAAGGTTTATGATATATATTCTTGGTCACTCTATTTATAGCCTTGAGATTTTTGGTTGGATAAATTTTCTAATATGGTATTAGATCCAGGCTTTGATAACCTCAATTCAGCTCAAAAGCTCACTTACTAATTCAGCTTGTTGAGACTTTCCCAAACTCTCTCTCTCTCTCTCTCTCTCTCTCTCTCTCTCTCTCATACACACAAAAAATTCCGGGCCTACTCATACTTTCTCTCTACACTTCAGCTTCACTCTTCAATCTTTCAAAAAAAAAAAATAGTATATATATAGAAGAAAAAGCAAAAGTTTGTTTTTTCATTGATCAATTACACATGCAGGATGATGTTAGAGAATATACTTGTATCTTGTTGGTTAATTAAATATTTTCATAGAAGTTTAATATTTAGGATCATCATTCCACGCAGTCTTAAAGTTTTGGGTTAGAGGCTCAAATTCTTTCATAGATTCTTAGCAAACTACTCAAATCTTGAAACAAATGAACATGATTAGAAAACTCTAGCATTCCATCCAAAAAAAAAGGAAGAAAAAGAAGAAAACAAAGAAAGGAAAAGAAAGAAACAAACAAATAGTGTATTATACTATCAATGAAACATAAAATATGCATGTGAACGTTGGTATTTTTATATATGATGCTTTCGAGCTATGTTTTAAGATCTTAATTTTTTTATTCTTACTCATTTATTTTTTTAACACTCTTTTTTGGTATTATAGGGTGGAATCAAAGATGAATCATCTCGAGTAATGACTTACCTATATCCAATGGATATTTCAAGACCAGTTGAGAATATTGAAAATTGCATGATAAGACCATATGGAAAAGATTGGGTTTTGATGATGAATATTAGTCCAAATACTTTACCTTGTATCAATAAACCCCTCAAAACCCTACCACTTTTTCCTATAACAGAAACCAATGGCCTCAAGGAACAGATCAGTACAAAATCAGCTTCCACTTTAAGTCTTTCATTTTCAAGTTAACTCTTTGGCTGAGTCACTTTAATTTGCATGAGCTCCATGCATACTAGTAATAAGATATTTATTATACTAGACCACGAGCAGTAGAACTGTGTTTTTTGTTCTTTGTTCTTTCTTTGTATCATTAAAAGGGGAGCTTTTGTGTAGCTGGTAAAGTTGTTGTCATGTGACCAGGAGGTCACGGGTTCGAGCTGTAGAAACAGTCTCTTGGAGAAATGCAGGGTAAGACTGCGTACAATAGACGCTTGGGGTCCGGCTCTTTCCTGAACCTCGCGCATAATAGGAGCTTAGTGCACCGGCGGCCCTTTTTGTACCATTAGAATTCTTTGGGAAAAAAAAACGTACGGTATAGAATAATGTCTGCAGTTTAATTGTTATCATCGTGTACCTTGTAAAGAGTTGATGAATGGAGTGTTATTTAATTGATGGTTTCTGTTAAAAGTCTGTATAGTAGTATATCTGAATTGCTTATTAATTCTATGTTAACAGTCATTTTGCATGAGCTTCATGCATACTAGTACTAGCCAAAGAAGATCTATGGAGTACTAGATCAAGAATAGTTTTAAGTTTTTATATGAGATGATCAGATAATTCAATATGGTACTGGAGCTAGTATAAGTCATAAAATCGATCCTGGGTTCATACCTCTCCGCCTCAAAAAAAATATTTTTATTTGTTTTAACCATGAAAAATGAATTAGGCTTCGAGGTAGATCCACGATTTAACGTTGATGGGCTTAACCTTTGAGGTTCTTAGACCGAACACATTGTATTATTGAAATTATAGGTTTAGAATTTAATATTTGTTGAAAGTTTACTGTTCTTTTACATGTATATTTATGTCCGTGTCATAATACGGAGTTCATGGAAAGAGTTTGTGTATGCTCTTAATCCAACACTCCAATAAAAAGTTGCATAAAATAGTGCCTGCACTTTAACTATATTTGAGCGTGTACTCACTCTGGTAAAGAGTGGGATGGACCGTTAGTTTATTGATGGATTCTGTTAACAGTCTGTAGAGTAGTGAAATATCTGAGTTGTCTAATTCTTGTTGTAAATGGTGACTACTCAACTCATGCTGCTGCTGCTGCTCTTCTAACCTAATCAATGCATCCATCTTATACTATAAATTAGAGTAATGGCCGGACGTTATGGGTGTGTCAATCCAAGGGAAAATGATCAACTCTAACATTTGTTTCCATCTACTTCAAGCTTGGTGGGGCAATGGCGGATTTATTTATATTCCTGTAGCAGCTAAACGTTTAGTAAATATAGCAGCTAACTACACCTTTTTTAATTAATTAGAAGGGCAGTCCGGTGCATAAAGCATCTCACGTTCACGCAGGGTCCAGAGAAGGATCGCACCATAAGGAGTGTGATGTCGGCAGTTTACCCTAATGCAAGTATCACTGTTCCACGGTTCGAACCCGTGATCTATAGGTCACACGGAGACGACTTGAACGTTGCTCCAAGGCCCCACTTCCTTTTTGTAAATATAACGCAAAACGACAAATTAATCTTGAATTGCAACCAATAGTTACCTCCTAGGTGTGAGCTTTTGCCAATATGCCGAGGTCCAAGTTTATGTTAAATGTTAATGTGTACTATATATTGTAGACCTAGTTAAAGGGTTCATACTTGTCGCAATAACTTGATTTTCATTTCAAGTATACTTACTTTCTTCAACAAGTTCAAATACTTTCTCAAGTATGTTCGCATTATGGGTTTATTGAGAGAGAGAGAGAAATAGGTATACTAGTGAACCCATTAACTCATCGTGAATTCTCCTCAACAGAAGACTTACTTAGATCTGCATGCACGTATGGGCTAAGTTTGGTAGCTAGGTGCATGTAATAGATGAATTTTTCCTATATATTTTTCGTCTTGTCCTATATATATATATAGTACTATATTTTTTGTTGTGTCCTATATTTGGGTTTTAATTATGGCAGCAAGGAGAGTTGTTATATATTGAAGTTTTATTTACGTGTTTTTTTTAATAGCCAAAAACATTGCTTTTCCAATTTTCCTCATTGTTTTTCCAATATTTACGTGTTATTCGGCGTAATAATTTAATAATAAAAAGGTTAAGATATCAACATGAAGTTGTTAATAATGAATAATAATCTATTTCCTTTTATCCTATACTTATTTATATTTTGCTTGTTCAACCAGCTACGTACAGTATAATATGAGCTATTCTATTGATAGAGTACTTGTTTATTTAAATCAAAGATCAGGGTATAATGATCCAATCTATGATCTTTGAGCACGCGGCTTAATATTTGTCACTAAAATTAGCTTTAGATCAGTGATTTAAAATAGCAATATAACATTTTGCATATATAGCTACTAAACACATTCTAGCTATTCAAGCAATTATTGCCACGAAACTAAGCCACAACGCAAAAAAAAACTTTGCCAAAGAAATTTTACAAAATTGCAAATAGCTATGGAAATTTTAATTTTTGTACTCCCTCCGTTCCAATCTATGTGAATCTGTTTAATGTGCACGTATTTTAAAAAAAATAAAGACTTTTAAAATTTGTGGTCATAAACAAGTCAAAAAGGGGTTCATAGTATTTGTTCGATAATAAAAGTTTCTCATTAAGGGTAGAATTGTATGTTTAAGCTAAATTATTTTCAATTTTAGAAAGGGATCATTCTTTTTGGAACGAACTAAAAAGAAAATAGGTTCACATAAATTGGAACAGGGGAGTAACTATTATTAGGTACTAGCCACGGTTTCCAAATTTGAAGTTAAAAATCCGTAACTATATATACATAATGTTGTAGTGTATGTGAAATTAATGCAAGGGATTTTATCTATTATGAAGTGGGTCTTAATCTTTAAAATATTGTTTAGATGTAATTATCAATAATTCTTAGCTCTAGAGTCATCTCTCTAAAAGAAAAAAAGAAAAACGAAGTACAAACAACAGTCCCTTAAAAAATCCAACGCACAACTTTTGGTGATATTTTATATCAGAAAGGATAACGTTGATCTGTTCATGTCCCAAGGAATTAAGTAATTGGCAGACAAGAGAATATATGAGATTAGTGAGTTTGATGAGCCTATGCCATATAAGCCACTCGATCCAAGCAAGATGACCTCACTCTTATAGTATTATAATAATAAATTTTTATCAAATTCTAATGTTTATCAACGTATCTTTGAATTCCTCTCTCCCAGTTGTTCAAAGTTAATGCTACCATTATTTTAATATTATTTTTTAAATGTAGAAAGCTCAAGAGAATAGATCAGAAATTAAAAAAATTTCGCCTTGCTGTTATAGCGGGAGTTGATGTTCTAAATTGACAAGTCGCGGGTGTAATTATTGACGTACAACTTATTAATGAGAACTTTAAGTAGTGTGAACAAAAATACAACAACAACAATCCAGCATAATTCCACTAGTGGGGTTTTGAGATGTTAGTGTGTACGCATACTTTACCCTTACCTTAGGGTGTGGTAGTGTGTACGCAGATCTTACCCCTACCCTAGGGTAGAGAGACTGTTTCCGATAGACCCTCGGCTCCCTCACTCCAAGAACTCCCCGCATTGCTCTTGGGGTGACTCGAACTCACAACCTCTTGGTTGGAAGTGGAGGGTGTTCACCACTAGAGCAACCAACTCTTGTCAAAAGTGTATAATTTTATATAAGTGTGAACATGACATAAGTGTGTAAATTTATATAGCGAAGGCCGGCCAAAGAGAATCAATTAATTTAGTTTGATTTGAGTAGGCAATCACAATAGAGCATGAGTTTAAGCTAGCGTTTGGTCATAGATTTCCAAATTTATTCTGAAAAATCTAATTTGGATGAAATTTAGTTTGAAGATAAAAATGTGTTTGGACATCTGTTTTGGGTGAAGTTTGGTTTGGAAAAACATGAAATATGACTTATACCCACAAATTCTAAAAACTATCACAAATACCCAACAGTACCATTATCAATAACATTCATTATATTATCGCAAACCATAGTCCTCAACATAAATAAATTTCATTCAAAATTATCATTTTTATAATGAACTACATGATACACTATCAGATGACCGAGAAGACGAAGTAACATCATTACAAAATAATAAATGGTGGGATCTTTTATAAAATATAAAAATTTGGGGCAATTTTTAAAAAATATAATAGTAATATTTTGGCCCAAAACCAGCTATTGGGATTTGGCCAAAATGTAGGCAAAATCTATGGCCAAACATGTATTTTTTAAATAAAACCTAAATTTATTTTGACAAAATCTATGGCCAAACGGGTCCTAAGTGACTACTAATTAAGAACAAGAAGTGTTATACTTCTAGAGGATGAAAACTGGAAAAAGAATAACCAGAAAAGGACTGAAAAGTTGTTGGTATAGCATTTTTATAGCCTAAACATACATCATTGATCATGTACAAGACACTCAAGAGAAGAAAAGATGACACGAAGATAGTTAGCTGCAATATAACCGACATAAGACCGACAAGTTATTTTTAAGCAAAAAAATAGAATCTAGCACAAAAATCATTGCAACGCGATAATGAAAGAGTAAGGTATTAGGCGCCTCGTACATTAGAGTGAACTAATTCAATAGTACCTATAATGACTCTTGCTATAAGAATATTACTTTATAATACGCTTAGACCTCTTACATACATAAGGTTACAACAATTTAGACACACCTACAATGTCAATGTCATGGCAGAAACATCATTTTTATCCACATTGGACACTTCTTGGAAAAAAGAATTAAGAGAGCTAAGGCAAATAAAGCTGCTCTTAATCTTTGTACAGGATGGTCTTATACTACAAATCATTCTAAACACAATGCAGGAAGAATTTGGCTATTGTGGAGACCTCAGATCTTCACTATCAAAGTGGAAATGGTGACAGAACAACTGATACATAGTATGATTACTCACAGTAGTACAGGGAAGGTGATTAATGTGACAATGGTATATGGATTCAATGATCCAGCACTAAGGTCTGACTTGTGGGAGAAACATAAAGATGCTAGCTAATCAAATGGTAGGAGCATGTGCAATTATGGGAGACTTCAACTCTATACTCAATCAAGAGGATAGAGTGGTAAGTAAGGTGACTTATACAGAAATAAGGGAGTTTAAGGAGTGTGTTGAACAGTGTGAACTACAAGAACTGAAATCATCGGGGTGCTTTTATACATGGAGCAATAAGCAAGAGGGACAGGATAGAGTGCTAAGCAGGATTGACAGTGTAATCACTAACATAGACTGGTGAATAAACTACCAGCATCTGAGGTTCACTATATGCCAGCAGCAGAATATGATCATAGTCCTACAATGATCAAATGGGAGGGGACTGGCACACCTAAGATGAAGATATTTAGATACTACAACATGTGGAGTATGGACAATTCCTTCATGACAAGAGTGGAGGGAAGCTGGAGATAACCAATAAAGGGGACACGCATGTTTAGAGTGGTTGGGAAATTAAACAGGCTTAAAAGAGTACTGCTAAAGTTGAATAAAGACAAGTTTGCAGAAGTGGAGAAACAGGAAGATGAAAGTATGAAGAAGCTGATGGAGTGTCAAGAGAAAATACAAAAAGACCCCAGGAATCAATTCCTATACAAAGAGGAGAAAGAGGTGACAAAGCAATACATATACTGGAAGGAAGCAAAAATAAAATAATGGCTGAAATATAGAGACATGAACGGAAGTTATTTTCACTCGGTGATTAAGGCAAAAAGAGCAGCAAGCGGAATATTCACAATCCAGAACATGCAAGGAGAAATAGTTCAATCAACAGATGCAGTAGCTGATGCTTTCAGGGATTTCTACACAATATTGCTGGGCACTGATCAGCAAAATAGAGATCATGTGGCAAGCCACATAGTCAAAGAAGGAAAGATTGTATCAGAAGAACAAAGAAGTCAGTTGATTAGAAATTTCTCACAAAAGAAAGTTAAAGATGCACTATGGGATATAGAAGGGACAAAGGCACTAGGCCCTAATGGGTATGGAAGTCAATTTTTCAAGGATAGTTGGAACAATGTAGGAGAAGATGCCAATGCAACTGTGCTGGAATTTTTCCAATCTGGGAAAATGCTCAATGCCCTTAATAGTACAGTGATCACCCTCATACCAAAATCCTCTCATGCTGTAACAGTTGAAGATTATAGACCTATAGCATGAAGTAATGTGGTGTATAAGATAATTTTAAAGATATTGTGTAACAGATTAAAATTGGTGCTGCCAGAAATCATATCACAAAATTATAGTGCATTTGTAGTTGGGAGAACAATAGTACAAAACATCTTGATATGTCAAGACTTGGTCAGATTATATAATAGGAAACAAGCCACTAAAAACTGTTTGATTAAGGTGGATTTGAAGAAAGCATATGACTCCATTGAATGGAAATTTGTGGAGGAAATGATGCATGCACTAAACTTCCCTAGGACCTTCATAAGATGGATTATGGCATGTATTACATCAACTAGTTACAGCATAAATTTAAATGGTGGATGTTGTGGCAAAATAAAGGGGAAGAGAGGATTAATACAGGGGGATCAAATCTCTCCTTTACTATTTGTGGTATGTATGGAATATTTCACGCGCATCATGAGGCATGTTGCTAAGCAGGAAGAATTTGCATTTCATACAAAATGCAAAGGATTAAAGCTGACTCATCTTTGCTTTGCGGATGATATGATTCTATTCAGTAAAAGAGATTATCCATCGGTAAATTCTGTCATCCATCCAGGAATTTGTCATATGCATAGAGAACTCAATTGGTAAATTCTGTGTTGATGCACCTACACTCATACTGGGCATTCATATTCTTACTACAAAAAAGGGTCATGAAGGACATTGTAGCTATATGTAGGAACTACCTATAGGATGGGAAGAGTGTCACAAGCAAATCACCACTGGTAGCTTGGGACCAAGTATGCCGACCAAAAAGAGAAGGTGGATTAGGAATACAAGAATGCTTGGTATGGAATGAAGTAGCATTGGCAAAATATGTATGGAATATAAAACAAAAAAATGATTCATTGTAGGTTAAATCGGTAAATCACATATATATAAAGGGCAAGGACTGGTGGCAATACAAATCACCTCAAGATAGTGCATGATATTGAAAGAAAATATGTGATATAAAAACAGTGTTTGCTGCAGGTTTTGAACAAAAAAGGTTGAAGGGGCAAGTGAAAACATACACAGTAAATGATGGGTACCAATAGAGAAGAGGAACAACACCTAAATGGCCATATGCACAATGGATTTGGAATAGATTGAATGTTCCCAAACATTGCTTTATAGGCTGGTTGATCATGAGACAAAGAATACTTACGAAGGATAAACTACATATGATGGGAATAATCCAGGAGAAAACATGTTTACTATGTAGAATGTAGGATGAAACAGTCCATCACCTATACTTTGAGTGTCAATTCTCCAGAAGGTGCATTGATGAACTATGCAATTGGCTGGGAATAATATTGAAGTAACCAGATATGCAGAATATTTGGAGGACAATAGGAAGATGTATAATATGCAGAGGATTTGTGGCCTCAATTATCACAGCAGTAATGTATGGGATATGGCGAGCTAGGAATGAAGCACTATGGAATCAGAAAGTACCATTGCCAACAAAGATGTGGAAGAGCATAAAAGAGGATAGCAAATACATATTACAACTCATAGCAGTCAACCGGAAGAATAGGAAAGAAACAGAGTAGATTAACAAATTGTATAGTTAGTGAAAAAGCTTCTAACTGGGCAAACCTACCTAGTAGGGATGTGCAAGGAGATGAGAAGAATGATACATTTTAGACTTGAGCTAGATAGGATAGCTTATAGATTATGGATTGGAAATATCACATGTAAATAACTTGTCTGGTAGGGATTAATAAAGATTTTCTTTCACAAAAAAAAAAATGAAGTGCATGCAAACAATGTTCAACAAAAAATCCATATTTTTTAGAGCACAAGACAAAAGACGCCCTGATTAATAAGATTTTCACATATCTTACACTAATGTTTCAATTATTATAGGTTTCGATTACTATAGGTCTACAGAAAACCTTTATATATAGCTTTTAATGAGAAAGTAGAAAACATAAGAAAAAGTTCAAATCGATAACTTAATCAAGTGAACAAAGTTATAATTGGAATACAAGATGCCTAATCTTTTTCGAACTTTGCAAATCATTTGAAGGTGGGATTGGAAAAGCAACAAAGGCTTCCATCACATCTCAGCTCCAACAGGAGATTCAGAAATGCAGATTCGTCATTATGGAATTCGGAGGAGAGACTGGTTGGGACTCTAGAGTATTGCAACCAATAATTTGCACTTACCAAATGCAACTTTTAACTCGCAATTATCAACCACAACATATAAGTCACAATAATCAAATGCGATGCATTCAAATTCGACATATAAATCGATCAAATGTGACATACAAATCGTAATCGTCAATGCGACATGTAACTCGTAATCGTCAAATGCGACATATATAATTCGTAACTGTCAAATGCAAACGTTACTGTCAAATGCCTTATAAATAGATGCAACTTTAATCTCATATTTGTATGATTTTAGTGTTTTATAGCTCTCTGATGCATAAAATTCAAAATGAAAATAGGATGTAATATGGCCAAATTTTTATGACATTTGCCATGACATAATATCCATTATTAGGCCAAGAATTTCTTTTTATAAATAGAGGAGTTTCTCCTCATTTGAAAACACACCAATTCAAGAGCTTTTCACTCTTGTCTTTCTTTCTCCTCCTTTATTTCATTATAGAGTATTTTGTAAGAGAGTTAGTGTTGGGAAACACTTGTGTGAACCCTTTCTTTGGAGTGATCTTGTGAGGTTATTCTCTTAGGGTATTTGGTAATTAGAGTATTTACTCTAATTTTGTACTCTCTTTTGTACTCTTGCTGGTATAGTGAGATTGTTTCTCTTCGCTTGTGTACGTAGGTCACCTTGACCGAACCACGTTAAATTTGTGTCTTCTTTATCTTCTTTAATTATCGTTATTATTAACTTGCATTGTCTTTGTTATTATCATTGTAACGTTGTTTGGCTAAATTTCGCACTACCCGATTTTCCGATCCTAACAAATTGGTATCAGAGCCAGATCTAACCAGGTTAGTTTAAAAAGCCAAAATGACCCTAACAAAGTCTTATGTTGATAAATTTGGCCGAAGTAAAAACTTCGGAATGTGGCAATTAAAGATGGAAGCTATCCTAATTCAGGATGGCTTAGATTTGGCACTGCAAGGAAAGGAAAAGATGCCAGATAAAATGACGGACGAGGAATTTACCGTCATAGACAAAAAGGCAAAAGCAGGTATTATTTTAAATCTTTGAAATGAGGTTTTGCGTGAAGTTACAGCAGAAGCTTAGCCAAAGGCATATGGGAAAAGTTTAAAACCCTATATATGAAAAGAACAGTAGAAAACAGGCTTTACCTAAAGCAAAAACTCTACACTTTTCGTATGGCTGAAGGTACCTCTATACTTACACATCTTGATACTTTTGATTCTCTTCTTCTGGATTTAAGTAACATAGATGCTGAAATCAAAGATGAGGATCAAGTTGTGTTATTGCTTGTTTCCTTACCCAGACATTTAAGCATATAAGAGATACTATTCTTTATGGAAAGGATAAGATCTCTTATAAAGATATCAAATCTATTTTGAAATCAAAAGAACAAATAGATAGAGATATTACTGGGGAAACTAGTGGGAACCAAGGGGAAGGCTTATTCATAAGAGGTAGATCCAATAAGAAAGATTCAAGTAGTGAGAAACCTAAATCAAGGTCAAAATCCAGATACAGAAATGTCATGTGCAAATATTGTCATAAGAAAGGTCACATTATTTCTGAATGCTTTAAATTGAAAAACAAAGAAAAGCATACAGAAAAGAAAAATGAGCACAAAAATACTGACACTGCCGAAGCAAGTGTAGCTGCTGATGAGACTGAGGGAACTATTTTTTTAGCAACTAATAATAGTTTCAAATCTAACAATGAGTGGATTTTAGATTCGGGTTGTTCTTATCATATGTGTCCCAGTCAGAATTTATTTACCACATATGAATCTATTGGAGGTGGAGTTGTCTTGATGGGCAATAATGTTGCCTGCAAAGTTATTGGAAAATGTACAATCCGAATCAAAATGCATGATGGTGTGGTGAGAACTCTCACCGATGTTAGAAATGTTTCTGACTTGAAGAAAAATCCCATCTCTTTGGGCACTCTAGAATCTCTTGTGTGCAAGTACACAGGTGAAGGTGGAGTTTTAAAATTTTCTCATGGTGCTCCTGTGATCATGAAAGCACGCAGATATGGTACGTTGTATACTCTTTTGGGATCTACTGTTACAGGTGCTGCTGCAGTTTTAATATCAGATAAATCAGATTCTGACATCATCAAATTGTGGCATATGCGATTGGGGCATATGAGTGAAAAAGGTCTTTCCATCCTCAGTAAAAGAGGTCTCTTATGTGGCCAAAGTACCGGAAATATGGAGTTCTGTGAACATTGTGTGTTCGGGAAGCAGAAAAGAGTCAGCTTCAAATCTCCAGCGATTCATAGAACAAAAGGTACTTTGGATTACATTCATTCAGATCTTTGGGGTCCTTTACTTAACCCATCAAAAGGTGGTGCCAGGTATATGTTAACTTTCATTGATGATTATTCAAGGAAAGTTTGGGTTTATTTCCTGAAAAATAAAAGTGATGTTTTTTTAAATTTCAAAAAATGGAAAGTTTTGATTGAGAAGCAAACAGGAAAACAGGTTAAGCGGCTTAGAACAGATAATGGCTTGGAATTTTGTAATGATGCATTCAACGAATTTTGCAAGAATGAAGGAATTGCTCGACATCGTACTGTGAGAATGACACCTCAGCAAAATGGTGTGGCAGAAAGGATGAATAGAACTCTTTTGGAAAGGGCTCGTTGTATGATTTCAAATGTTGGGTTGACAAACGTCTTTTGGGCAGAAGCTATCTCTACAACTTGTTATATTGTCAACCGAGCTCCTTCTGCACCTTTGAGCTTTAAGACTCCAAAAGAAATGTGGTCAGGTACTCCTGCTAATTATTCTGATTTAAAGATATTTGGTTGTCTTGCATACATGCATGTAAATAATGGAAAATTAGAGCCAAGGGCTAAA